GCAATCTATTAAAAAATAAAATAAAATTTAGAAAAACAAAAAAAAGTTCAAGAAACACTGACGTGGGAAAAGAACTAAGAAACTATGAGAAATGGTCACCCTTCTGTTTCAGAATAGTTCTGGTGTAAATGGTAAGGGGAGAATTTAAGATACAAAAGGGCAAAAGAAAGGGTAGCAAAATGAAAATAGAGAATGGACTCTATATTTGCAGTTTAAAAAAAAAAAAAGTAACATACAGTTGGGAGTTGATAGTTTTTAGGAGACAGCCAAATTCACTTATAAGCTAAAGTGAAGGGAGCAGCGAGGAAGTCAAGTATGAAAAAGAACACGATAGAGCAAGGCCTTAGAAGATAAAATAAATGAATCAAGAAGCCAAGAGGAGTTACCTTAGAAGAAGCAGAGGAGCTTAGTTCTCTGAAGCCACAGGAATTATAGCTCCAGCAGAGACCTTGTCTAACCTGTTCTAGCACAAAGCTTGATGCACACTAGATCTGAATAAGTACCTGGTGAATGATTAGAATGAAACATAAGCACCACTATGCAATTATGACTCCAATTCAGCATCTGAAAAACCTATTTAAAAAAACTTCTTACATTGTGTTATCCTTTGATTCTTCAAAGGCATTTAGTTCACGGATGAGAAACTGTCTGTCCAGTGGAACTACAGGTTGACCAGATTCTGGGGGGAAAAAATTCATGAGAACACTGAGTCTATTAATTTAAAAAGCAAATATGACTTTGATAACAACCATACTTAAAAGTTATACACATTTTTCAGATTTAAAAAAAATGATGACAGTATATGCCCAGCCAAATCCAACTGCATGTGATTTTATGACTTGAAAAACCCACTCTGATAAATGCATAACATAATTCAATATAATCCAACATAAATGCACCCTTTTGTTTCTTTTGTTTGTTTGTTTCTTGAGACCAACTCTCATCATATTGCCCAGGCCATTCTTGAATTCATGTTTCATCTGCTTTAGCTTCAGAGTAGCTTGTACGGCAGACGTATGTGACCACTTCTGGCTCATAAGTTTACCTTTTAAACCCCCTGATTTTTGGTTATAAAAATACTGTTTCTGCATCTACACTATAACACTAGACTTCAGTTTGTTTTCTGAAA